TTATGATAATTAGACTGCATAACATAACAATGTGATTATGATAATTAGACTGCATAACATAACAATGTGATTATGATAATTCGACTGCATAACATAACAATGTGATTATGATAATTAGACTGCATAACATAACAATGTGTATTATGATAATTACACTATATAAAATAACAATGCGTATGTAACGTTTTTGAAAAAAAAATGTTTTATAACTGTCATAGGAATGTTTTTGTTATTTCATTAAACGCAATTGTGAACAATTCATAATCCATTCATTAAATGCAAGTTTGTTTGTTTGTTATTACATATTTATTTTTATTCTATTACACTGAATTGTGTTTCGCGTAATAAACATTTTATTTATGACAAAAACAAATTTACATTATTTCTTTTTCTCGCTTACATGTGCATGCACGATAGCGGAACTACGCGTTGAGAAGGGTGTATTAACTAAACAAAAGTGTTGCTGCTCTATGACGTTAGAGGGCGTCAGTCATAGAACATATACTAGTATTTGCACCTCTGTCACTTGAAAATGTCAAACTACAATCACAGATGCTCCCGATGTTATGCACTGTTTTCATGTGATAACATTAAGTAAATGATTTGAATAATATATTTACTTGAATTGTCGGCAAAGTTTTAAGTTAAAGTTGTAAAAAGAAAATTAAATAGTATAGAACTTATTCATTAAGTATAACATTTCAGGAACACAGTGATAAATCAAGCTCTGAATTTAGATTTGAAGAAGTTATAACTCATTTTTTTTAGTAATGTGATAATACATTCGGGCGCTGTGTATAATTTTGCTTAACATACGTATGTAACGTATGTACTTCTATCACATTAAATAAATCCTGGAGTTTAAAATTGTACTCATGGCTCATTCGTAGCCATATCCCATTGGTATGGTGCAGTGTGTCTCCATATACCATTTCATTCATAGAAATGACAGATTTCGATCGGATACGAGACCACGTGCTCAGCAGGATGGTTTGCCACGAGCTTGAGACTTGATATAAGTATCAAATTGGAACTGGTAATCGATTGACGTTTCAAGTTGCAATATAACACCTATTGTCTGTATTTATGTTATTTGTGTGTTCCATTTAATTTTAGTTTGTTTCGTTTTATTGTGTATTCCATATTAATCTATAGAATGACGTGTATTTTAAATGAAGGTCGTCGCACTCAGTGTCTAGTGTCTTTTACCTCTATGGTCAGTCGGAGCTAACCGTCGAGCAGGATAACAATATTCCAATCAGGTTATGAGTGCAACTCGATCAGGATATATATCTCAGTCAAAATAAGCGTATTAATTCCGTTCGGTGGTTAGTCCTGACTGACTGTGTTGTGATATGTTGTGTTAAAGGGCGGTGGTCGTCGTGCTGCGGATGTACGACATTTGTGTTGATAAACATTGATTTTCCCACAAACCAATGCACTCTTCTATAGGAAAACGGAAGTACGAGTTTTGAACTGGGCGCGACGTGAACTAATTGCCACCAGTGACTCTTTGATACCTTCCAATAACCAAAGAAATTGCCTAGTTAAAGTGGGGGGGTCGTCACCTGCACACACGCGGGAATTGAGTCCCAATCGATGAAAATAACACACGATAAAAACGCAAGGACTCATGGGTAGACGCTTGTTTGTAAACAATGACACGCTATGGCCATCTGACGCATGCGCGGATGACGACTCCCCGCTTTAAGCTTAATAACGTCTCAGTTTGTGCTCGTTGGTCTGCACAACAACCAAAGTCACCATCTAGCATCTTTGTTCATATGAGACCCATATCTCACGCATGCGTGGCGCGACGACCACTGCCCTTTAATATAAACATTCAAATTAAACTGAATCTATGAATTATTGTTATATAAGAAGGTGGCACAGTTGATTTATATTAGTTATCTATTTGGATTTTCTAAAGGCATTTGATTTTGTCCCACACAAACGTCTTTTAATTAAGCAGTCTCAAGCTATTTGCTGACAACGCTAAACTATATGCTAATACTTATTGTTCTACACAACTTGATATTATGAAAGCCCGATCCTGGGCTGATACTTGGCAAATGAGATTTAATCTAAGCAAATGTAAAGTCATTCAAATAGGCAAATGTAATCCTGGACATCTATATACCATGAGAGGCAATAATACCACCATTACTTTGGAGGTTACAAACTGTGAGATAGACCCCGGTGTACTTGCGGATAATAGTTTGTCTTTTAATCAACATATTGACTATATGGCGCAGATACTGTAAAATATGTTGAAAAAGCGACATGCAATTTTAGCGAATTGTAGTAAAATGACGTAATAGCGAAATGTTGATTTAGCGAATCTCTCTTGTCATTGTTGAGTTCCTGTTTTCACAACACTTGTCTGTCGCGCTCTGAAACAAATGCGCAATTATCACCTCCAAAAAAACAAAGAAAGTGTAATTTGATTCTGTTCGCAATGACAAAAAACTGATTCAACGGGGATTTCAACTACTAATTTCCGTAATAATATATCAGTATCACTTCATTTATTTATTTTCATTGAAATAATGACCACAATGAATACGTTTATTTTTGCTGTGTTAATTTACTTTTCAATAAAGTGTATCTATCATGTCAGTGCATTTTTGTGTGTTGTTTACAGAGTGTGTGTGGAGAAAAAAGATGTTGTTTGGCGGCCATTTTGAATTTATAATAAAGACATTAGCGACATCTTGAATTAGCGAATCAGTTCTCTCGCTAAATTCGCTAAAAAGACATGCTCGCGAATTAGACATGTTTCACAGTAATATTTTTGGTGTTATACGTCGTTCCTTTAGTTACTTGGACGCAGAGTCACTTGTCTTGCTATATTTAGTTAGGCCTCATCTCGAATACAATAATCAACTGAAGTATGGCACCATACAAAGTCCGTCATATGGATATCCTTGAAGCAGTTCAACGTAGAGCAACTAAACTTGTTCCAGGTATAAACTCTTTGCCATATGACACCAGGTTTAAGTTTCTTAAATTGCTTACTTTTATTTAGTGTATAGACGGTTACGTGGAGACATGATACAAACTTATAATTATCCTAATCACAAATATACAACCCACCAAGATTTAGTTATGGACCATCTATAACTAGAGGCTATGACTTTAAAATTAAAAAAATAATGGGTCACGTCTGGATGTCAGAAAATACTTTTTCAGTAATAGAGTTGTAAATAGTTGAAACACTTTACCCAACAATGTTGTTTTAGCACCAACAGTGGACTCTTTTAAACTTGAAACAAGATTGGATAGACATGGAGTAATTTACGATTGAAATACAATTACCGTGCTGATTACTTTTCCTTCATGTAATGCGCAGTCTCAGACAGTAATAGTAACATTCTACTACACAACAAATAGACTTTAAGTGTCCTCAAATGTTGTATTATATAAGTATATAAAGGTATATATCAGAAACCACTTGAAACCAATATTGAATTTAAATATAATATAATATTATGACTTTAAATCGGTTCAAAATAAACTGCATGATTTTACAAAGTCAATTATAACTAGCTAGG